TATAAAAATTCAATTAAACAAAGAGCTTATAAAATTTAAAATATTATTATTTAATTAAAAAATATTTAAAATTCGTTCATATTTTAACTGTAAAATTTGATAAATAAAATGTAAATTTATAAAATTTAACTTCAGCATAATAAAGTAAAATTTGTTATAAACTTATTTATATTGTTATATATATATAGACAGAATTTTGTTATATCTAATTTGAGTATTTCATTTAATTTAAATTTGATCGTTAAATTTAAGTTAAATAAAAAATTTAAATTAAGTATAAGAGTTTTTATATTTATTTTAGTATAAAATTTTATATATATATTAACATAGTAAATTATATATGCAGACACGGGAGTGAGTGAGTATTGAAGCGTTCAAAGTCATTAATAATAAATAAATATTCACATTTATATTTTAACCTATTTAATAGATAAGCATATAATATTTTACATGTACCTACTAATCGGAACCAAATGCCAATTCTCTCCGCACACCAGCGGCACAACCGGTCCAATCTTTGACCTTCGATGGCATATGACTAAGAATTAAGATACTAGGAAGATACTTTTTAATATATTTTATTTATTATTTTAATTTTTTTTAAAAATATTATACAAGTATGAAAAAAATATTAAATTATAAATAAAAAAGTGAAATTCACGTTAATTTATATTTTTTAATAAATTTTAACTTTTTTTTTTTCCGGTTAATCAACTACTATAATATAAATTAGAGTTATCTATTATTATCTTTCACAGGTCGTTCGTGCATGAATTTTGAGATTAAAATCGTTTTGTGTGTGGATTACACACTTACAAGAATTTCATTTTTTACCTATTTTCTTTCAAGTTTTGAATGTTAATACTATTATGCTAAAATTATATTTGATTAGTTTTATAATTACGTAAAATTTTCAACACTTATTTGTGCAGCGGACCTCACAGAAAAAGCGGGTAGACCTTGGGCCCAAGTCTTTGGAGCCCGTAGCATTGTAAGAGGAAATTGGGTTATATTAAGCAGTCATCATAACCTTGGACTGCACCAACCCAACAAAATTGGGCTACAAGCAAGCACACTTCCACACAATAGTTTATCAGGTTATAGGGGATTGCTACTTGCACTGTTTTTTTTTTAAATTATTTATATTATTATTTTTAGTTTAACTGTATTTGTAGTATTTTTTTACTTAAATTATATGTAATTTTATTCCTTCAAAATTTTGAAAAAAAACTAAAAGAAATCGTAAGATATGATATTATGGTTTGGCTAAAGGGAGTTTTAGTTTTATTTTTGGGTTAAGTTTGATATTTTGATTGATCAGCTTTGAGTAGAAGATTATTTAATTAAATCATTTTATGAATATTTTAAGTAAAAAAAATAAAAGTTTTAGATAAAAAACAACAAGAGATCAAATTTGCCAAAATTTTAAAACTAGAAGAATTTAATTAGCTAAAAAATTCAGAAAAATCAAACTTCACAAACCTAAAAATACTTTTCTTTTATTTTTGAAAGTATGCTTGTTACATTCCAAAAGACATCTATAAATGTATTATGAAATTTAATTTTAGTAAGGTATAAAACGATTTCTGGAAATTAAAGTTTAGAAGGTATAAAATTATTTAAAAAAACTTTAAAAAAATTTGTAAATTCCCTTTGAAATATAATTTAAAAAAAATACAAATCAAGAAAAGCAACCAACTTTAATTACTTTTACAGTTTTATCCAATTCAATCACCAGTGTGCAATAAAAAGTTTGAAGAGAGCAAGATTCAATAATAAATAATTTTTTTTACTTATTTATTTACAAATAAACTTATATATATATAAATATACATTGTTTGGTAAAACAGCAAGACAAATTTTGCACATAACGTTGAATTAAAGTTCTTAGAAAATGCTAAGAATGTCAAAAGGGAACAAGCAGAACCCGTTGGACTGAAGAAGCAATACTGTGGAGAAATCAAATAGGAACATGAATTTGTCAAAGCATCAGATCTGGCTGTCCATTGATTTGTCTTTTTATAAGAGTTTTTCTTTGCAGAGACACTCACAATAGTCACTGTCTTAAGTTGTATAATAATAAAAGCATGCGTAACGTGAATGCTAACTTCAAGCTCCACCGTCACATATTCATTGAGTCTGGCTTGCACGTTTTGGCGAATGCTTTTACCAAGCAAAACACATGCATCTCCACCACTTTCCATTCATACACCATTTCTCAAGTATAAATAAGAAAATATTTATATAAATATTCTAATTTTAAAGTATAAAATTAATAATTTGAGAAGAGGTGGAGAAATATAAACCTTGAAATGGGAAATTAGGGTTTGGAATTGGGAAGAGAGAGGGTGGACACCGCATGTGCACGTGGAGCGAGTGTGACACACTCGAGCGTGACCGTGTCCAACTAACAGTGTAGAACATTCAAATCAACCAGAGCCAGTGCACCTATGGCCGTCAATGAAGACCACGTGTCCACCAACCTCGCTTACCACGAACTCAGTCCAACGCTAAAATACACAAATAGCCACCTATGTTTGGTTCTAATTTTTTGGTTTGGGTTTGGGTTTGGGCTAAACAACAACAAACAGACCCACTGCAAGTGGTCCTCAGTCTCAATCTTCTTCTCCCCTTGTTCTCCACGCAACACCTTCTAGATCAACCTCAGCAACCCACCCATTTCCAATTTTTCACTAATGCCTCTCCTCTTCATGTTCTTTATTATATACCTACAAAACTGGTTTGTTTTTAAATAAAATTTCCCTTTTTTAAGTTTCAGTTTTCTTTATAAGCCTGGAGAATTTTTTATTTTTAAATATTTAAAGGCATTTTTTAATTTTATAAAGAATAGTTTTTAATTTTATAAAGAATAGTTATGTAATAACTGAAAGCTTGTAACGTGTTTCTTATTTTTAAAAAACACCGCTAAAATACATTTTAAAAAATTGTGAACAGAAGGTAAATCATCTAGACCAATCGTATACTTTCAAGAACTACACCTTTGATCGTATAGCCATTAGCCATATGTATGAGTACCCATTTCATTGTCATAATGTCCAACCAAATACACCGTACAAGTTATGTTTTCCCACGTGATAAACAAGCACAGCTAATACTTTAGTCTTTTAATTACATAAATGTCCATGAGATTATTAACAAGTGAAAATCAAAAAGAAAAATGTTGAATTCTCTGAATAAATGAACAAATAAATATTGAAAAATCAAATGCAATATTTATGGATCCCAAAAGCGGAGTTGCATTGATAAGAGCACGCAAGCGATGAAAAAACTAACTTTATTCCTTTTTATATTATTATATCAGATCTAATATTCGTAAAGTATTTTAACACATCCTTTTTACGATTAAGATTTGATATCTAGTGTATACAATTTATAAAATTAAATATATGCAGGTCATTTAATATTCAAACTGAATAATCCATGATATTATGTTAAAAAAAAGGTATAATTTTTCTAAAAAAATAAATAAGAGATAATTTAGAAAGTTATGTTTTCTATTTCAAATCAGAATCAAATAAACTATGGACGCATGTGAGAACTTCAAAAGGATAAAAAACAATGGTGTAGTTGAGTAAGTTGAAAACATGCAAACGCATAAAATTATCCTATATGTAATAATTTATGGGCAGATTAGAAGAGGATAAGTACGAAGATATATAATAATAAATAAGAAAGTATGGTGGCAAAGGATAAGAAAGTGGGAATTGATTGGACGTACGCATCAATTGCGTAATGCATTGTATTGACCAGTAATTGTCCCTACACGCACTTCGCCATTGATGACTCTCTCATCCTTCTTCTGATCTTTTTTTATGGCCATGCCAACACAATATTTATTCCCTTCATCGCAACGTAAATGTTTTTACTATTCTAATACACTACTTAGAGCCATTACTTAATCTGTTATTCAAAGTTAGAGCATCCATTTATACCACACTTTTATACATAGATATATTCAACTGTGTTTGAATTTCGCAAGTACAAATTCGAATTATATATGTATTTTTAAGAACTCGTGTCCAACACTGAAATAATATATGATTTTGTTTAAATAAAAATTTCAAACGAATACTTATAAAAGATAGAAATAAAAAATAAATTTATTTTATATATTTTTAAATCACTCAATTTAACTTAAATCTCTAACTTAAGTAAGCTTTTAAGATTATTGCAAGTCTTACATCATTGGAAACTCCGCTTCTTCACACCAAATATGTGTTTGAGTTAGTTGTTAAAAAGTTATATTAATAATTAATTTTATTTTTAATTTATTAAAAATTATCGAAATATTAAGTACAAAATAAATTTAGAATATCTTATTTTATTTCAATTGAATAAAAGAACTGCTTTTATTGAAAAATTAATAAAAAGTTAACATTTATAGTAACTAATTTATATTTAAATAAATAATTGTTAAAATGAAATGAAAATAAAAATTGAACAAAACATCAGCAGCTGACATTTAAGTATGAGATTCGAAATTTCCTTTTCATTTTAAAGTTTTTTTCCATGTAAACACACTCGTTTAGAAAAATCTGATTTATGTAATTCATGTTACAAAAAGATTATTTTTAATAATATTAAATTCATACAAATGTGTAACAAATAATAAAATTTTAGTATTTTTTATTATTTATCTTTACATACGACACTATCAATCTGATAAAAATCATTTTGTTATTCAAAATGTAACGAGTTATTGTTATTGGTTAAAAAAGTGTTAAATATATTTTAAAACAATGATAAAAATATATTAATAAATTTAAAAAATATCTTAATTAATACTCTGAAACACTTACTATTACTTATTATAAAATACAGTTTTAAAGAACAGAGATATTAGTTTTAATTAGTAGTCGTGCAACTTATTTGGTTTTATACCCTATTTGTGGCTTTAATTGCACTGAAACACAGAAACGTCCAGATTCAATGGGGGCAGCAACAACGCTAAATTGGGGAGAAAAATAAATATCTGTGCTGTGCAACAAAACAACACCACCATACCCTATCTCTCCCTACTTTGGGCACCTTAATCAACCAAATCCATGACAACATTAAACATAAACAAACTTATCTTAAATCATCATTAACCACCCATGCCATTCCCATAATATCCCAAGGACACAACCGTCATTGCACCCTCCCCATTTCCTAGCCATTCCACACACCTCTTCACATGCACAACACAGAAGACAGATTCTGCGGAAATCTACCACGAACGAAACCCTCTCTCTCTCCTGTTTCCATTTCCAAGCGTATTTGACTCTCTTACCTTCAATTCCAGGGTCCCCCATTTGTAAATTCTTCTCTATTTAGGGTTTTTTCTTCACCCCCAAATCCTTTTCATCTCTATATATTATAAAAAAACTGTACATACGCTGCACCCATTTCAATATTTCAATTTGTTTTAATTATTCAAACAATTTCCATTTATTTTTCTCTGTATAGACATAGGGAAATACTTTTCCTCTGTTTGACTCGCTTTCTCTTCTGAAATTGGGAGCCACCATAACAGTAGTTTGCTCACTCATAATCATTGGGGGGTTTGCATAGGTTTCTTCTGCAGAAGAATCAAATCTAATTGTTGGGTATTTTTTTTCCTTAAATTTTTAAAAGGGTGTAAAAAAAAAATTGTTACTTCCAGTTTGGGGTTGAAAACCCTAATTGTAACCTTTGAAAGAGAAGGAGGAGGAGGAGGAAGAAACACTGAACCTTTGTTTCATGGCGGTTTCTACTATAGCTTTATACGCGAGTCCACCGAGCAGTGTGTGTTCCACGCCGTACCCTTGCCAGATAAATGCTCACGCTTCCTACGACTTCGAATTGGGGTCCCGATCTTCGTCGTCGGCGACCGCAACGACAACGTCGACGTCGCAGAAGCCGGTGATGGGTGGTCTTTCGTGCCTATTTTCCTCTCCGGCGCCGGCGGTGAAGCACGCTCCGTTGTCGTCGAGTTTTTCCGGCGCCGGCGAGGAAGACGAGTTGAAGGAACTGAGTAGTTCCTTTTCGTACTCGCCGAGCAAGTTCGGTGGGTCTTCATGGAAGAGGGATCAGAGTCCCGTGTCGGTGTTTCATGGTCCTGTTTCGTGTAGCAGCACGAGGAGTTCAACACCTGTGAGGATCAGGTGTGAAAGGGGCGGCACGTGTGGGTTGTTTGACGGGTTTGTGAGGAATGCGTTGGGGTCTTCTTGTTTGGATTATGATTCTCCAAGTTTCAGTGTTCGTGGGGGTGATTTAGACGCTGGTGATTCTTCTGCTTTGGTTGATGAGTTGACTTTCAATTTGGAGGATGCTTTTGTGGAGGGTGGATTTGAGCCCTATGCTAAGAAGTTGCTTTTGGGGGCTCAGTTGAGGCACAAGATCTTCTGTGAAGAGTTTGTTATTAAGGCCTTTTGTGAAGCTGAGAAAGCACATAGAGGGCAGGTAAATAGAATTCTATTATGTGTTTGTGTTTTTGGGATTGAAATGTTTGATTTGTGTTTTTGATGTTTGATGATTTTTGTCGTTGAAGATGCGAGCTAGTGGGGATCCCTATTTGCAGCATTGTCTGGAAACTGCTGTGTTACTGGCTTTGATAGGTGCCAATTCCACTGTTGTGGCTGCGGGGCTTTTGCATGACACGCTTGATGATGCTTTTCTGACTTATGATTATATATTTGGGATGTTTGGCGCTGGAGTTGCTGACTTGGTTGAAGGGGTGAGGAACATGTCTGTTGTTGTGAATTAATAAATGCACGTGTATTAAGATGGTGGAATTGATGGTTGTAATCTACATTTCATTATTAGCATTTGAATTAACCCTCAATATTGAAGTTATAACTGATTTTGGACTTCAGATCTAGCGTTAGTGGCAATGGCTGTTTGTATTTTGAGTGCTGGAACTTTATTAAAATTTAACAGACATTGACCTTATAGTTGTGTGTGCATGTGTGTGGTGTTGAATGATGTACTAAATAGTTTGGATTGAGGCTAGTTGTGTTCAACTCACCATAGTGGTCTCAGACCATGAATGATTTATTGTGATTTTGTGAGAACTAGCTTTCTGGAGCTGTAGGCTGTGCATCTATTGTCAGCTTTCTTTCCGTCTTCCTTGCGGTCATTGAGGGGTTTCTGGAAATTGTTGTCTTGTCTGTAAATTGAGTACAGTTTTTCTGTATTGAGGCCTACAAACTTGATGTTTGTATTTATTAACATATAGAAGTAATAACAATTCAAATCCTATAAGTTTGTGCAGTGGTTTTTTATTTACATAGCTTTTTATAATTGCTTTAACGCTTTATTGTCTGTTGTGCTTTGGTTTCTGAAATTTGATTTTTATTTAATTTTTAATACTTTTTGGGATTTGCATTTTTATAGTAATTGGTGTCTTCGTAGAGGCATTTCTGAATTTTCTTCATAGTTTTGGCCTTCAAGATTCTAATTAGTTGTTATGGCATTTTAGGTTTCTAAGCTGAGTCACTTAAGCAAGCTGGCCCGAGAAAACAATACAGCTAGCAAGTCAGTTGAAGCAGACCGCTTGCATACCATGTTCCTTGCCATGACAGATGCAAGAGCCGTCCTCATTAAACTTGCGGATCGGCTACATAATATGATGACACTAGAAGCATTGCCAGTGGCCAAGCAACAGAGGTTTGCAAAGGAGACTCTGGAGATATTTGCACCTTTGGCCAATCGCTTAGGAATTTCTAGTTGGAAGGAACAATTAGAGAATTTGTGTTTTAAGCATCTCAACCCAGGCCAGCATGAGGAGCTTTCATCAAAGCTTGTGGAATCGTATGATGATGCAATGATTACTTCTGCAATAGAGAGATTGGAGCAAGCACTTAAAGATGAAGGCATATCTTATCATGTCATTTCTGGTCGGCATAAAAGCTTGTATAGCATATATTGCAAGATGTTAAAGTATGCCATACCTTTCCTCCTTTTTTTTAAATCTAGTTGCTGTATTTTCAAACTGCTGTTTGTTATCTTCCATTTATTTATTTTTAAATGAAAATATAGTACTAGAAATGTCCTTTGTATGAAGGGATGGATCAGTTGTTTGAAGAGTATTATTACACAAAATTGGGTGTCTGATTAAAGAAAGTTGCTGTTACTGCTTAAACATGTGTAAACATCAGAATTTATGTTTGAGGTGTTTAGATGAGAGTAGTATGGGACAATTTCGTGGCTATATATATGGTGATACCGAAACTAATAATGAAACAAACTGGATTAAAACTACTAATGAAAAAGCATAGCATCATTTTTATCTGACATGCTGAACTGTACTGAACTGTTTGTATGCTTCAGTTTCTCAATTGTTCATTTCTGTGCTTTTTTGTAGGAAGAAACTAACCATAGATGATATCCATGACATTTATGGGCTGCGCTTGATTGTTGATGACGAAGAAGACTGTTATAAAGCCTTAACAGTTGTTCATCGGTTGTGGTCTGAGGTACCTGGAAAGCTGAAAGATTACATATGTCGACCCAAGTTCAATGGGTATGTTGTGGCTCGGTAGCAATTGTTTACCCTTTTTAAGTTACCGTCTCTATATCATCTGAATTTGATTTTGTAATTAACAGTTATCAATCTCTGCATACTGTGGTGATGGGTGAAGGCAAGGTTCCCCTTGAAGTACAAATTCGAACAAAGGATATGCATTTACAAGCAGAATTTGGATTTGCTGCTCATTGGAGATACAAGGAAGATGATTGTCAGCATTCATCATTTGTGCTTCAGATGGTTGAGTGGGCTCGATGGGTTGTCACCTGGCAGTGTGAAACAATGAGTAGAGATTGTTCATCTGTTGGATATGCTGATTCAGTCAAGCCCCCATGCAAGTTCCCTTCCCATGCCGATGATTGCCCATATTCTTATAAGCCTGATTGTGGTCACGATGGGCCCGTCTTTGTCATCATGATTGAGAATGATAAGGTTTGTGCTAGTAATTCATGTATCATTTAATTGCACATTTTCAGGTCGTCAATCCATGGTTTAAGTCTTAAAACTTCAGCAAGTACTATATTCAAGTGGTGTTATTTAACATACTTTAAAATGATTGTGGCATGTAATGATCTAGTAGTGTCATTAGCATCATATCACACATTCCAATGCCTGTATTAACCGAGCTTGTATTTGAATGTATGTGCAGATGTCTGTCCAAGAATTTAGTGCAAACTCAACAGTCATGGATTTGATGGAAAGGGCTGGAAGAGCAAGCTGTAGGTTGACAACATATAGGTTCCCTCTGAAGGAAGAGTTGAGGCCAAGGCTGAATCATAAGCCTGTAAGTGATCCTAATTGCAAGTTGAAGATGGGTGATGTGGTTGAACTCACACCAGCCATACCTGACAAGTCTCTCACAGAATATAGGGAAGAAATCCAGCGTATGTATGATCGAGGGCTAACCGTGTCAAGCACAGGAAATGCTGCAAGCACCATGGTTGGCTCAAGAAGTTGACCCTTGCTTGGCTTTCACACATATATTCCAACTTAGTATTATTTAGTGATAGTAATGTATATACATATATTTGTACAGAACAACTATATATTACTACTGTGAACTTGCTAACTCGATTCAATTATGTGCTCAATGATTTGATTTATGTAGCTCGTCCAATGCTCCTCATAAATTAATTACATACAATTTGGATTCTCGAGTTCAACTTTTATTCTGTAAATCTTGCATTCATTAAATAGTTTTATGTTATTTGTGGGATCATTCCAGAGGGGTTAAAGAGCCTTATTTGCATGGAGTTGAGAATGTCTTTCTAAAATTAGGAGTGCAATTTAATGTATAGAGTTAATATTATTAATTGAAAAGTTAAGTTTGTCATGCATACAGTTTTAGCGTAATTTCATTTATCGAATTTTGAATACAACTATTAAGTGTAGTTCTTCATCTAGAAGAGCTAAATCTCATATAGATGCGTACCCAATTCCTCACACGTGGTAATCCAGAAGGCGTCAATCCCCGAATTTTATATCATTATTCCATCCTTTCTACTTCGTAACGAACAAGTGAAATTATACTACTAAGCACGTCGTAGGTAGCGTACATAGAGCGGCAGCTACAGTTGTGGTTGTTCTTGCGTAATGGAATGTTAAGACAAGTTGCAATCGCATAAGTAAAACAGTCTTACTACTTTAATAAAATTCTTTCGTATTAAATGCAAATTTGACCAGTTACAATTGCAATTATACACCCCTACAAATTTTCTTTACACACATTGAACTGAATCCTTTAACGAAGAAACGGTGTTGTAAAAATTCATCTCCGTAGAACTACTCAAACTTGAATTCAGAACTTGCGAGGCATCTAGCTGAGGTGACACTTGTGTTAGGAATTTAAAACGTACACATATTCTGAGTCTCACTATTTCTAACATGAGTCGTTTCAGAATTATTGCTCGCAATTCGCACGTGTTATGACCATACATGCTCTTACTGAATCATCCAATTCTAAATGATAACAAAATTCATAGATTATTATTAGGAGATCAATTGAGCATATACAAATAATATACCAAGAAAATTAAAGAACCTCCTACTATTCACAAAAAATAGAAATAAAAATCAAATTGATTCGTGATCAAAATAAATCTTTTCTTTTTTTAGCACACATTTTTGTCAATAAGAAAAACATATTCGTGTGGTGCTTTCTGAAATGTATCAATCAACTGAACTCATGCTTTGGTCATAAGTAAACTAAACACTTAAGAAATCCGTCAAATCGTTATAAATTTATGGTCACAGGCATGATTTGATTTATCTACAATTCAAATGAGTTATGATTCTTGGGTTTACTGTTCTTAAACATTTTTTATTTTTTAAAATAATTTTATTGCTACTGGACTAAGGGTTCAACTCCATTAAGCACACAAGTATATTTCAATAACTGAATCTGAAGTATTTAAACTTCTATTTGAAACATTTGTATAATTGCATGATTTAGATTTTTTGTGTATTGTATGACTTACTAGAAAATGAAATTTATAATTTATAGAAATGAATTTTGAATATTTATGAACCTTTCTTTTATATTTCTTTTAGTGTTTGCATTGTTTGGGTCATTGGAGAGGGGATGTGAGAATTCACCAAATGTAAAATTTGAACTTTGTTCATAATATATATACTCTGTTAGCTTTCATTTCTAAGTTATTAGTGTGAAGTGATAGTGTTTGCATTCTAAAAGGTAAAAAAATCCGCAAATAACTTGTGGGTGGCCAATCTGCAAGCTTACCCATTTATGCATTACGGTCCGAGCCAGCTTGCATATATCTACCTTATTAAGAACCAATTGAACACACGATTAAGTACTGTAATCTAAATAATATATACACAAGTTTATAGATTCTTGTCACCAGTATACAATCCCAACAGCGTTTGGTGTTTGGTTGCAAATGCTGTATGTTTTTTTTCTTTTTTCTTTTACATTTTATTCAGAAAAAACAACCGACAACAAATATTCAACAATGATGGACTACAATTACAAAATTTTCTTGTTTTGCCATGAAGCATAATTCAACATTACTGACAAGAACAAAATTATTAATAAATAATGGTAAACACTTCTCAAGGGGGTGGTTAGGAGAAGCTGCAATTAACCTTGCATTGAATAAAACGCTTAATATAGTGACCGTTATTGTACACTTGCCCTTATGCTTTGAATACACAACGAATTCTTAAACACATAATTAGATAGCGATTCCAAAACTCTAGAAACTTTGTCTATATCGCGAGGTTCATTGTCCTCCACACAAACGTGCATTTATTTTCACTTGCAATGAGTTGGCCCAGATTATTCAATTTCTAAGATATGGGCCATGGATTTAAAAGCTGTGTGATGTGAATAAACAATGTCAATGATTGAGACCAAGTTGCTTCTTAATTGCGTGGATTGCCGTGTTAAGTGTAAGTAGTAGAATTGAGCTTAAATTTGAGAGACTTGCCAAAAAGCTTGAGGTATCAAAATTGAAAATTGTCAAGCACAACTCTCATTTTCTCTTATATTATTACATTAAAATAAATACTATATAGTACATAAATGCAACAAATAGAAACCAAAAGAAGAGTCCTCATCTCCAAAAGAAATCTTGAACCGAGGCTTGCCAATAAAGAACAAGCATGAGCATAACCAAAACTCCCGCTAGTCCCCAAGAAGAGCTTCCAATTCTGAGTACCCACGAAGGCTCAGGAGATGGTAGCAATGAAGCTCTAGGAGATGACGTGGACGAAGAAGAGGTGGTTCTTATGGCAATTACAAGTCCAACAAGAACCATAGGTAGAACAAAACCAGAACTCCATTTTGATTCATAGTACCACCTCCTATCACTCTTTGAATTAACATACAAGGGAGATAACACCACTGCTGAGGCTAGAGCCAACACCATGGCCAGTGATCTTTGTGAAGAGGAGCTATGACATGAGGAAGCATATGGGGGGGTGGCCATGATTGGCTTGGAGGTGAAGTAAAATCCCAACTTGATGATCAAAATTTGAACTTTCGACAATGATTTATAGTGGGATGGAAAAGACGGGTAATGGGTATTGGGCTAAGGAATCTACATGGGATTGGATGACAATAAACCGACCAAAAAGTGAAGAGGATTAAAGAAAGGAGTGAAATGATGTAAAGGGTGGTAGAGAAAGGAGATTCAGTGGCATGGAAGCAAGGTATATTTCCTTGCTTTTTGGTGTGTTCATACTGTGATTGCATTCAGCAACTATAGCTGTAAGCAATGATTTTTTGCTTGGCGAGTAGCTGTAATCCTTTGATTAACAGCAATAATTTCCGTTACTTTTTGAGAGTGTTGTCAGAAAGAGAAACACCAGTTATTTATTTATGAGAAATTGTGTTCATACAAAAATTTTGAAGAAAAAGAAACAGAAATAAAAAGAGTCCGAGTCCAATTAGTTAGTGCGTTGAAAAAGTATATGAAAAAATATTATATAAAGTTATTATATGAATAAGATAACTCTATTTATCATTGAATCAAGCTTAATCAAACCGCTCCCATTATTAATCTAAGGAAAAAAAAAAAGAACAGCTAAAGGACAAAATGCTCGTCACACCCGGGAAAAACGGTAAGTTGAGCAAATTTTCCTGCATGACCTTTTTTCGTGTGTTTTCTTTTCATTAATTGCTCCAAATTGAATGGGAAACTTTAAATATCAAATTGAATTCTTAAAATGATACAAATTGCATAATTTTGTATTTTAAGATAAAATGAAATAAAGAATTTGAGAAACAAAACTTGTTACTAGTATATATATATAAACTTTTTATAATTTTATTTATAACTTTTAAGATAAAAAATAATTAACATTTTCTTTTGAGTCAAAATACTACCATGTTTGAATTAGAATAGACAATTATGAACACAAACTTTTCTGTCGATCTCGAATTAAATTGGAATAATTTTTTACTAATTAATTCACATTTTGAGTATAATTAATATTTATTTTTTAAAAAGTAAATACAATTACTTCAGATATTAAATAAAACAAATACTAATCATTGCTCTTAAAACATGCCTAGGAAAGTTTTGTAAAAAAAAAAAACAACAAAAATTATTGAATTTTTGAGTTTTACAAACTGAAAATCTCATTACTTCACCAATTTTCTGGTTGACCAATGATCTAATTTTGTTTGGACATAATATATAACTAACTCAAATGAACTGAGTTATATTTATTTTCACTAAATTTAAACTAAAATTTCATTATCATGTTATTCAAATTGAATTTGAAATTAAATAAAAGTAAATTTTACGATGTTCTTAAAAATAAAAATAAAAATATTTTATACTCTTATATACGTAAAATAATTATAATTATTAATTTTAATAATAAAATTAGTGATATATTTAAAAAAAATATTTTTTAATATTTTAATATAAATTTAGAATTACCGTATGGAATGACTTTAAACAAATTCACCTGTTATGATTTACACTTCTTAGAAGACACTAAACGACGACCTACACGTCGTCGAAGTTGTGGAAATGCAAAGATAGTGATGATGGTTGTGAATGAATGAACGATCAATGTCCTCTCAGGACCAAGCCCTAGTTTCCCTTCTCTCCCAACTCGCACTTTCCTGCGACGGTGCCGTTTTGGGCTTCGCCTTGGCCTACGTCGCCGTTCGCTCTCTTCTCAAATTCACCGCCTCCTCCGCCGCCCTCCGCAAGCTCCGCCACGCTCCTTCCCTCTCCGTCTCCGACCTCCGATCCCTTCTCACCGAGACAACCTCCGACGCCGACGGAAACTCCGACGATGGCAAAATCGTTATTATCCGCGGCACCGTCGACGCTAAATCCGCCGTCGACGGCAGCTGGAAAACCTTGAGGCCTGGCGTGTTGGTTTCTCGCGAGTCCGGTGACAAAGGCGTCGTCCTTCAACGAACTCAAACGGTGATTCCTCTTTTCTTTTCTTTCTTTTGTTTTAAATGATTTTTTATTGTTTTCCTTCATATTGTTGAATTTATTGAGATTAATGTGCGGTTAAACGGGAGGCTTTTGCTTGCTTGTTTAGAATCCACCATTTTTAGGGTTTTATTCGAAATTTTGGGATGTATTTAAGTTATTGGGAACATTAATCAATGTGTAATATGAACTTAGGGTCTGTATGGCTTTAACGTGGGAGTTGAAAAGGTGGAGATTTCGCAATGAAAATCCCTTCAAAACGAAAATATGCGAAGGTGGAAAATGAAATGGAACTCATTTTCACCTTGCTCCATAACTTTGGTTGAAAATCATTTTCACTTAAGTGTGTTTTTGGTTTTTTGCATAGAAGGAGCCTAGTATAAGTTTACCAGACTATTGCTTTTCCATTTGTATACTTGAGAATTTGTGCCAATAGAAAACCAAATACACTGTTGATCTATAATTATTTGACTACCTGCCATGTTTATAGATATGGGTTTTCACTGGGGATAATGCAATGAACCTTTGCAGTTTTGAGCTGGTTTATTTTATCCTGACACTAATCTCTTGGGATTTGGCTCCTTTAAAGTGAGTGGGGTGTATTTTAGAGGATAAAGTTTAGTTTTAACTGTTGATCAGAAAATCCACATTTAAAATTGTGATAAGATACATGCATGTGTCTAAAAGGTGTAACCTTTTTTCATTATCTTAGAGAATTTAAATTTAATTCCAACTTAAATTTCATGCAACTTAGTTGTGAATTAGAAGACTAAATTATTTAATTCTGTTTTTGTGTTGATTGTAATGAAGTGTATATACAATGAATGGAAGGGCTTATTTGGATGGACTTCTGATCTTCGAGCCATATTTGCAAGATCTTGGAGACAACAAGAGTCTACATCCTTTAGAAAGGTGATGAATACATGTTACATATTGCGATTCATAAATCAAAATGTATAAAAAATTTCTTATATTGTTCTGTCAGTTTTTTTTTTTTGCATTCCATGCAACTAAATTTGAGACTGCTTTATATGATTGAATAGTATAAAGAATCACCATATTTAACAGCAGAGAAGATGTCTCTGTCCTAGCAGATGCAGTGTATATGGGGCATTCTCAGATATCCTAGTAGATTGTTTTATATCCATACTTAGTGGTTTTCATAATAAATAATTTGCAATCTCTTGCTGCTTAAAATTGTGCACCATGGATATGGTTCAGCTTATTACAACCTAGGTTAGTAAAAACAGCCAGCATGTTGAACAGGATTTGCTTTCAGTTGCAATTGCTAGAAGATGAGATAATTAATAATTTAGAGGGACTTGATATCTTTTTTGTAGATAGTTGCCTGTTTAAGCTTGTACTTAGTGTTTTTTACTTGATCACTAAGAGATATCTTGCTTTGTTATGGTTATTTGAGAGCATAGTAGTAGTTCCTGGTTAGTGGCATAGCCTGGAAACTACAAAAATACCATAGCAGATTGCAGAGTGGCTGCTAAACTGACGACAGTTAACACAATGCAAACAATTCGGCTGCTATTCAGCTGTATTTTTGCCGGTATTCATTTGACACAAAATACAACTGAGTTTCCTGTAGCTGCTAGCAGCTATGACACTGTGATAATGGCACTATTTGCTGCTATTGGCTACTAAGGATTGTGGAGTGTCTCCTGTTTTCTCTTCTCTTTATACTAGTACTGGATTCCTAACCTTAATAAGATAAGGAAACTAATCATGAAATATGAAAACCATTCCTAAAGGATCGTCTAAGATACTGAAAAATATTTTAAGATGCAGTAATAATAGTAAATATTTTCTAGATATTCTAATAATATTTTTGTTGTAGGTGCCTTTTGTTCTTGTTGATGTTGGACGGCGGCCAAATACTGAATATGTTGTTGTCAACTTGGATGGCTCAAGGCATCCATTACCTCTGACAACAGTCTATCATAAATTGCAACCAATAAGTGCTTCTCCTTATACTTTCTTGCAAGCACTTTTTGGTCATGAATATCCGGTGAGTTAATATTCCTGATGCTTATATGTTCAAGTTCAATTGTTGATCAAAGTATATCACATTTGGTGAAATGTTAACTTACAATGTTTTGTTTCTGCAGGTTGGACTACTAGATGAAGAGAAAATTCTTCCACTGGGGAAGGATATTACTGCTGTTGGCTTTTGCAGTTTAAAAAACGGTATTACTGAAATTAAGTCATGCAAAGATCTACCATATTTTTTGTAAGTTTCTTTTCATTGAAATTTACTATTATATCGTAGATCTTGAAAATGCTATTTGGTATTCTCATTCATTTGGCATAATGGCAGGAATCATTTCCTTATAAGGTAGCATAACACTGGTCCAGTAGGATAAATTCTTGGGGAAATGACAATTTACCAGTAGAGTGATTAGGGCTATTTTGTTATTTTAAATAATTAATTTACACTGGCAACCATGAATGATGAATCGATATCCATGAATGTGTGGTTTTGATCAAACTTACTTTAATTTTCTTGTCAACAAAGAGATGTGCCATTTGTCAAGTATAAATTGCTTTTGATAAGAAAGATACTATCACAAGTCTAAAATGTTGTTTTCAATGTTGCACTAATAAGAATAATCGGTAATTACTGAAATTTTTTTCCATCCTAGTTGTATATTTGAGTGCATATATCTTAATAAATATTAATAAGTAATTCAGCCAGTGGAAGTGTGCTTATGGCAACTGTCATCTCTTTTGTAGGTCTGACTTGAATAAAGATCAGATGATAATAGATCTTTCCTTCAAAACAAAAATAATGTTTTGGGGTGGTCTTGTTCTTGGTTCAATGTCAGTTGGGATCCTTGGCTATGCAGTTGTGAGGTATGTTGGTTTGACTTACCTGTCCATTTATTCATATTGCTTATGGAATGTTTTTGGACTTTGTTAATTGTAACTAAATGGCTTCAGATTTTGTTGTGAATGTGATTGAAGTGGATTTTCTTGGTTCGGTAAACTTTGTCGCGATGATAATGTGGAATGGAGAAGTTGTATAATATAGTTGGCATACCCTCTACTTTGATAAGAATCAGAATTGTAGGAATGATTTGTATTATTATTATTGATGATTTTGGGTTATTAGAGTTGCATTGAAGGCAATTAGATTTTGCCCGATTTCAGGAACTGGAATAAGTGGAGGCGGTGGAAGCAACAGAGGCAGCTCCAGCAACAAAGGCAAGCGGTCAGTGACGTTGATCCTCAGATGGATGATGAAATTGAAGATGTTCCAGATGGACAACTGTGTGTTATATGCTTGATGAGGAGAAGGCGCTCTGTTTTCATCCCCTGTGGGCATCTTGTGTGTTGCCAAGGTTGTGCCATTTCAGTTGAACGTGAAGTGGCACCCAAGTGTCCTGTTTGTCGTCAGGAGATTCGAGATTCAGTGCGGATATTTGAATCTTGAACAGGCACAGGCTAGTTGTTCTGTTCACTTTGGCAGTTAACTTTTATGCATGCTGATGAGTTAGATGATTGCTTTTTCTTGAATAGATCTGGATTTTTAGAGAAAAGTTGCCTCTCTTATTTCCTGTGAACACGACTTTATCTGGGGAAAATATGTGAATATGGCTTAAATAGGTTGGTCGAGGTTAATTTGTAACCTCACTTCTCACTGTAACAGATCTTTTTTGGAGAACATTTTAGGATTTTCAACTTTCCCAAATGCAGTGTACATACATATTTTATTTCGTCTAACACCTATTGAACGAACTCTGAAATGATTGTGTATGTAATGATGCTTCTAGACTTTAAATCTTGTATTACTCCCGGCTTAAAGATACGTGTTATCTCACGAGTTCACCTGTAAATCCTACTGTAAAAACACATGCTTTACGGGGATCCCCAGGCATGCAACCAGCCTGTGGTTTGTTTGGCGAGATTCAGCTTTTTTATTAACGAATAATAGGACATGTCTGGTTCAAAAACATGTATTTTTTAACTATTGTAAAAATGACATTTTATTTTTGCTTCATTTTTTAATTTTACATCATTGTATAATAAAGTGTAAAAAAGTTTTATTTACCGTTTGTTATACAAACTCTGAAAATCAGAAAACAAATAAAAATAAGATGATATGTTTGAAGTTAAACATAAAAGATACAAAATGAAAATAAAAAATATTTAAGCAGGTTTTCTGAAGCAATAGTCTTATTTGGATAAACTGTAAGAGAAATACTTATAAAAGAAACAATTAATATAAAAAATAATAAAATTTCTCATATAAATTAAAAATAACTTGTACTTTTATTTTTTTTAAAAGTTTTGAAATACTGCATTTAATTATTTTATAATTTGAAATGATAAATTAATTTTTAAGTTATTTTAGAAATTTTATTCATTATTTATATTAATTGTTTTCTTTATGATGCTTAAGTACTTCTACCGTATGGAAACACTCAGGTTCAAGATCTTATTTTTGACAAAATGTTTAATTCAAAGCTGGTACATGAACAGCGGAGGATTATGATGTGTAGCTTCTATGTGGATTGCAAATGGAGCAGTGTACTGGGCATTTTTATTTTTAGTGCTGGGTTTATAGGCTTATGATCTGAGAAGGATCTAACTTCAGACTTGCAACAGAAATACAACAGGTGCTGAACTTTGAAACAGCGCTATCTTCTTAACAGTTACCAATCATTACAAAACACACACACAAAATAATTTGTAGCCTCCTTTATTTTACAGAAGTTGTATATTTAAGAATTTGACATAGAGAAGTAAAACATGGAGGAGAAATTTTGCAGTGCAGTGCAAGAACTTTACGAGCTCAGAAAACGTGTGCTACATTTTACCTCACTAGAACTAGTTGGATATCAACTTGCACTGACTACCAAGTTATGGTACATCATGGTGGCACCTGTAACTTGTGTATAGAACTCCCACAGCAATCTACTTCGCCATAGCCAATAAGCATATTCACCTACAGCCTAGCCGTCAATGGCCTACCATGCTCATTCTCATCCAGCTTCCACAAAGAACAGAAAGAAACAGGTTGCCCCTTCCACCATAGTCCCACACTAGTATTGTTATCTTCTACTTTCATCTCCCAACTACTATCATACTTCCTCAGCAATGCTCTAGCTCCATCCGTCACATCCTCTCCAAATACTTCCCCTACAAACCCTGCTTCTTTCATTCTCTCACACCATTTTTCTTTCCCTTCATTCATCTCACGCTGGTATGTCAATGCTTTTGCAGCCTCACCTTCCATCACCCTCCTTTCATCATTCTCACGACCCTTGAATGCAGAGCTGGTTGAATCCAAAAACCTCCACAAGTACTCCACTCTTTTAGAGAACCCAGTGGCAAAATTTCCACAGCTACTGCAGCAACAATCCATGTTGTTGTCACTTAATATCACCCCTTTGGGCTCCATGTTCTTTAACATCTTTAGAAACTCAATTCTTTCATCAGGACTGTTATGATTCAAGTGGTGCAGCCTAAACTGTGCACAAACAACAAAGATTTCATCAGGGTAGGTGTCAATAATTTGAGCATTCAATGTCTGTAATGGATGATTATCAAGCCTCTTTATCTGCAAATTAACGTTCATGGACTGAGCAAAACCAAGGAGTCTAGAAGAGAAGTTATCACCAGGTGGACCAACTGAAAATGGAGTCTCCATATTTGGGTCATTTTCAGTGGAGGAAGCAGTAACCACGGTGAGGCGAACCAGCGGAGGAGGTCCACCCGGTCGACGGCTCAAGGCCTCTAGAAAAGTTGGCCATTGCACACCATGAGAGACACCAATGTCAAGGATGTGAAGGGTACGTGAACTATTTGCCTCTTCACCAAGAACTTGAAGAATGGAAGCATTTGCTATGTTGTTGGGAAAGGAAAACCAAGGACTAACCTCATAGAACTTGAGTAGTGACTTTTGGAAGAACCTTGGTTCAGTTGATGCAAAAGTTAAAGCCCCTGAAGATGAAGATTTAGATGAAGTAGAAGAAGATAGATGATGTGTCAGTGCTCTAAGACCATGTTCAGCAAGCCTGTGGTTGGCATCACCAGTAGGTGATGCTAGCTCATGGAGAACATATAAGAGGTGTTGCACACGGTTCAAGTTTCCACCAGTTATGGCAACAGCACAAGGGTTGAGCAATTGTTCTGCCCACCTACCTTCCTTGTTGTTTCCATTGTTACTATTATTTCCATTGGCCTTAGCTGCACCCTTCTTGTTCCCACCAGATTTTTTAACTGTTGTACTTGCCCCTTGAACAGCTGCATCTCCATTGTTTGCTTCATTCATTGGATGACTCTTGATTTTCTTGTGCCTATGGTTTTGTGATGGTTTGAGGCTTGATTCATCGGTGGCATTTCTTTTCTTGGGCAAGTCAGAAAGTGGTTGGTGGTTATTAGAATCATAAGGCTCAAGGGGTGTTATGCTAGTTGTAGTACTAGCAGCAGTAGTAATGTTGGTGGCATTAGGGGAACCAATATTGGTATCAATTTGGTAGTGGTTGCTAATGTCTTGGTCCTGATCCCATAACTGATACACTTGGATGTCACTAGTGTTATATGGATCATCCAAGAATGGTGGAAAGAAAGGGACAGAGCCTTCGAACCAGTCCAGAATGTGATCTGATGATGGGTTTGGTTCCATGGTCATTGTGATGGAATGAAAGTGTGAGGTATTGAACATATGTTGAAAAGGGGTTTGAAGGGCTTAGTAGTGTAATAGTGTTAGATCATTGACCAAACATGAGGAAGATAGAACCAAAGACTTTCATTAATTTTTCCCATGTAATTTTAAAATAAAGCATGGTGTAGTGATGTTTCCTAGTGGAGACAATTGAGGGAATTTTCTAATTGTTTTGTGTGCTGTTCGTTTGGAGGATGTGATGTTTTATTGAAGTTTAATATAGTTTGCATAGGCAACTAGGAGACGATTATGTCTCTTCTTTATGTTGGGTGGTTAACTTGTTCTTTTGTATTATATTAGCCATTGAAATTTACTTACTGTTTAGGATTTTGAATAGAAGAATTCCCATGTTGGTTGAGAATTCAGATAGGTTCTTTCAAAACTCTGGCCGGCACACTATATTTCACTAATTTAAAATTCTTGAAAAGTTTGTATCTGGCAAGGCTTCTGCAACTTTTTGTGCTGTATTTTGTTGTTAATGGGTTTGTTTTCCTTAATCATTTTTTCCTAAGTAATGAGACGGGTATATAACTTGAAACTAAATAAAATATGAAGCTAATAAAAACTTTTATTTTTCGTCATGATTTATTTGGAGACCAACTCCCAAAAATTCTTGTTCTGGTTGTTTAAATTGAACATGATAATTTTGCGATTGTTAATAATAGTGTTATTACAGTATATAATAGAATGATTGTTGAAAGAATAGTTATATTTGCGCATATTTTGTATTTATAAATTTAATTTAGATTTATTTTTACTACTAAAAAGTCACAATAAGATAAAGAAGTTATTCAATGATTTATAGAAAAATCAATGAAAGTTTTGTGAGTATAATGTAAAAGGATTCTCTTAATATCTTTTCATTTTATAAGGATATCAAAAGATTATTATTCTACAAATTGTATAAGAATAATAATAGATTGATTTTAATACACTTTTATCTGTAATTATTTTTATATTATTGACTGATCTTGAATTGAAATATTGTTTAATAAATTTAATTATTTTAATAACTGTATGAAATGTTGAACTTAGCAAGTATAATTTTTTATTTTAATAATAATATTAAATTTAAATTCATCATACGCGCAGCTATCTCTGAATATTTTGGGAGCTGAAAAATAATGATTATTATCCCAAAAAAATATTAATTATTTCCCTAAAAAGACGATTTGGCGTAAATAACAAGAACCTGATGCCGTGTTATAAATAACATTCTAAATTAAAATAAAGGATCCATTCAAAAAACATTACAATAAGACAAATAACCTTAGATGAGTTGGAATAATTTAATAATTAAATTAAAAGTTTATAATTATCATCATACCTAGAGAAAAATGTGTAACCGACAATCGTGTAAAATTTTAATATATATAATTAAAATTTGAAAGTGAGGGAGTTCAAAATCATAAAAACGAAGGTTAAAAAATTATATTACTTATAAGTTGTTCAAAGTGGGAGGGGGTATTTGTTCACCCTAAAATATGTGTACCTCAAAGGAAAAAAAGAAGAAGAGAGAATTTCAAAAGTAATGATAAAAATCAACAAAATAAAGTAATCATAAAAAAAATATTAACAATAGATATATTATACATAACCTATTTTATATTTTTAAGCAAATTTCATATGAACTTCATCTCAAAAATTAAAAGCTTTTTAAATACAATTCATTTTTTAATATAGTTAATATAAATATTTTTACATGATTAATTAATTAAAATTATACCTGGTTGATATAGTTTTTAATGTTCAGTTAATATATTGTTAACTTATTTTCAAATTAATTATCATAAAAAATTTATGATTTGATCATATTATAAAAGAAATTATCCTATCAATATATTTTGATTAAATTCTTAAAAATATGTTTAAAAATTATAATGCTGAACTTACGAAAAAAAAAAGAGTTCTGTAATCAACAGTGTGACATTTTATATATAAGTTTAATTTTGACATACTGTAATGTGTATTATTTTTTAATTATAAAAACTAATAATATATTAGATTTTATTGTGTTTTTATTTTCTTAAATAAAATAAGTACAATCACTTATCACGTATTTAGTAAAATATATAAATCGAAGGTACTGTTAAATGGATAGTTTCTTATTTTTTTGATTTATTTGACCAAATAAAACATTTAACAGGAAAGCTCAATAGTTTAGTAATAGCTAAGTTCATTTATTTTTACAAAAAAGTTGATAAGAAAAATTGACATTAGGGTTCAAACGTAACAATAACGTAACCAATAGGTTTAGGGGTTTTTTAGGGAATGATCGAAGGGAAACATTCTTTCCCTTGTGAGAAGATAACAATTGAATTGGCATTAGAGTTCGAATTTTGATTTTGATTTTGAAGGTACTACGAAATCAAAAGGGATCAGAATTCAGGAATAAGAAATCCGAATTCAGAATGGGTCAAGCTGAAAGCGCAGAAGCTGCGGCGGAGACCCAAACCACCATCACCACGCCCACAACCAACAATTCCTCTAATCCCATTTCCTTGGAATCCGCGCTCGCAGGTTGTTTTTTCATGTTTGATTTCTCACGCTCTTCACTTGTTTGTACTGATTTGAAATCTCAGCTTGTGTTGTAAATTGTTACTTGTCTTCGTTCATTACAGAAGCTGCAGAATATGGAAACCAAAACACTGAGGTTTGCATTGCTTTGCTTAGATCCCTTGCTTTCAACTTGGCAAGTTGAGTGAATGAATGAAAACAATTGAAAATTGTGGAATTTTCAGTCTGTTGAGGCAATGTCTCAGAAAGCCCTTGAGTGCCCTTGCATTGCTGATTTGCGAACCGGTCCCTGTGGGTCTCAGTTCTCAGAGGCATTCCTGTGCTTTCTCAAGAGTACTGCTGAAGAAAAGGTATATCTTGATACTTAAGCTTTTTGATTTCTTACACTTAGTTCTCTCATTACATTGGAATTTGAGTCTAAGAACGTGGCTTTGTTTCCTGACACAAAAGGTAGCTACAATACAAATGTGATGTGAGTTGGTTACTTGATTTATCTGTTAATTGGTAGCTACTCTAGCCCATATATATCAGCCTCTTCACATGACTAATTTGATGTGAGATTCATGAACTGCAATGTGCATTTCTTTTTAAAGCTATTTGTTGCAACTTGCTTGCACCCTTGAAAGCCTGGCAACATAGACTATTTTAACGTTGATATGATCAATAGAGTGCATTGGTAACATGCAACTGATGCAAGTCTCTATTACTTAGTCACTGATAATGCCATGTTATACAACTGGCAGCCAAAATGGGCAAATTGAAATATTTTATTTTCAAGTTTTGGATTTCTATATTCTCGTCAAGGGTTGAAATATGCAAATTGCTCCAATTTTGTAGGGTTCAGACTGTGTACATCCATTTGTTGCTCTGCAGAGCTGCATCAAGGCCAACCCAGATGCATTCTCTAAGGACATTCTTGGTGAAGATGAAAGCAAGGAGTTGGAGCCAATCCAAGAATACAAAATAATTCCTCCCAAATGGTCTAAGGAATCTCAAAGTCCAAAATCGAAGCTATAAAGGAAGAGTTGGACTCTCATTTGGGCAACTACTTGGATAGCAGTGGTTAAATTCATTTTGTATTTGTGTTAGCTTTGCCTGATTAGAAAAGTGACAGGATGTATAACCTCTTCAAAATTCCTTCAGTAAGGATGTTTCCTATGATGTGTCCCTGGTTAATTTTTCTCACAGGTGTCAAAGAACATAAATGATACAGGATTTCCTATGTTTCTTAAGACATTTTCCAAATTTGCATTAACACTGAGAATTTGACCAGGAATGGCATCTTGGTGTTCAAGAGGATAAGTGAAATGCTTCTGTAAATATGTACTTAAAAAACTGATTACTTTTTTGCCAAATGAGTCCTCTCAGCACACTGGGCAGGTAACATGCCTTGATCTTTCCTTTGGACTTTAGTTCCACTGCTTGAATCATGTTGAGGTCTCTCAATTCCTCCAGATACTTCTCTGCGACCTCAAGTGTTTCCACCCATCCTTGTGCAATCCACAGAGTGAGTATTCTCCTTGCTGGGATTTCAAGATCTTGATGGAAGAGTGAGAAGTGAAATAGAAATCTCTAAAGGGTTTTACTCTGCTCTTCATAATTTCTATCCCAAGAGTACGACCATGGTTTTTGGTTCCCAGCCTGATTGATTTTTTCAAGTGCATTTAGCATTCACTCAACCCAAAGCATTTGTGGACGATACACAATGCAGTGATAAGATTGCAAGTGGCAAACCCCCACATCTGCCTACAACTTGAAAGTTTTTCCACAGATGTATCTAATTTAGGCTGTCATAAAACCATGTGGAACAACTTCAAACTCTCTCCTTTGTTTCTTAGTCTAAGATGATAAGGTCGGTTGCTAGCATAGGAAGCCACATTCTCAAAGCATGTTGTCACCAATGTTCTGCTACCTTCTGCCATTCCAGACAAAGCTGATGATCTCAGTTCACCCCATTCTTCTGTCCTTGTAACATTTTCTAAAACCACAAGGCTAGGTTTCTCCTTCAAGGAATCAAGAACACTATGTCCATCATTCTTGAAGGGCATCGTGAATCAAGCACGCACAGAAATCTTCTGAAGTTGTCAATGCTTCCGTCAGCTTCTGAAATCAACTCATTTGCTTGTTTCACACTTTCACCCAAATCTTCTGTCTCTGTTTCCAACTCAAATCAGAAACACATCCATCAGAAAAAAAATGTAGTAGAAGCATAGTATAGATTGGCCATATTACCCCATCTGTCCCACCAAGTAAATCTTTGCTCCTCCTGATCAGGCCTATTATGCTTGTAGAAGGCACAGGTTCTAGAGCTGGGATAGAGTTGTCCTTTCGAAATCTGTGTAATACATGCAACACGCTTTTGTTCTTAGATCTAGACCTTTCCATGGACTCATAATATGCATGAACATGATGTTATTGTGATTAAATTTGCCAACTATTGCTCTTCTGATCGTCCTTATTTGGAGAAGAAAGTCAATGATGTACACTACTCTGAAGCAAGCTGTGAGATACAATTGTTGGCTTAACTGCTTGAAGATGGTAACACACTTGTTTGCATCAGCAACACCCTTTTTTATGGACTCCATCCATTGCGTCATCGTTACATGGCTGCAAATTCGTTCTACCTAAGTTGACTTCTGAACCCCATAAGCTTTGGGCTTCGGTTTCTATTTCAGTCACTTCCTCATGAAGTTGATCCTTGTCCTTTAACAGAGCATTCAGAGACTCTGATTCCTTTTCAACCCACTTAACCTCCTTTTCGTAGTAACGGAGAAGAGCAATTAATACAAAAGAAACAACTATCATCATTAGTTATGCATCAAAGAGAAGTGCAACAAAAGCCATGAGATGTTGCAGGCCAATTTTCTCTCTTTGGACGATGGAAAAGAACAATGAAATTGACTACTCCAAGTGCTTAGTCTCTCACAAACCAAAATGGCTATTTAAGTTAGGTTTAAAGAAACGTTTTCTATTTTCATCTTCTGTTTTTATTTTAATTACAAAATTGTTATCTTGTTTACATTGTGTTTTCTGTTTTCTAAAATCTGTACATAAAATAGTAAAACAAATTTTTTTAATGTTTTCTTTACAAATCTTTAAAAATAAAAATAGAAAGACTGTCCTAAAACCAAATAGCTCCCTATTTTGCAGTTCAGGTTTGGCAGTAATTAGGCTTAATTAATTTGCTTTAGAAAATTCTTTTCTTTGATAATTGTTTTTTGATTTGAGAAGCTGTAACCATGTCATGCTACTGCATTCTGACCATGGAGACAATTCCAATTTTATGGTGCACATGAAGAAAAGATGGTTAGCTATTTATTTTCTATTTTTAATTGCTGTTCCTCGCGCTCTCTCTCTCTTTTTGTATTTTCTTTTTAACATGTTGACGAAAATATTGAATGTTACATGACACCATTCGTATCCTCCATCGTGCAAACCGTTGACTAAAATATGTTTGATATATGATGACATCATAATCAAGTGATGAACTATTTTTTCCTCTCTCTATGTTTCACTTTCTGCTTAGATTTGATATCTTCATTTAATCATGATATTATTAGAAGTTGAAACAAGTCTTGATGAACAGCAACAAGACACGATGTCATTTTAGCTGTTTCTGTTGTTTTGCACATAATGGCTTTTACACTCAAAACTCATAAGTACTTATCAGGTCTTTTACACAATAAACCCATGCTTTAGTTAATGCAAAATGATTTATAATTAACATGATTAAAAAAGAGTCTTCTTTTTAAAAAAAATGGCTTAAGCAAATCGAAACAATATATCCTCAAGGTTTAGTCTGTGGCGGAATTTTCAATTTAACCTTAGTTCAAATGTTGTTGAGATACTTGCATTTATTTTATTTTATTTTTGTTCGTGATATTTGCATTTAATTTTAATTTGTTTTGGTCCTGTTCCACAGTGGCATATCTCTTCTAAGAAAAACCCGCTCATGGACTAAAGTTTAGTAACCAAAGCCCATATTTATTTGGCAAAAAGGCAATACTATTTTTTGGTCGTGGTGAAAATGTAAAACTTTAAAAACTAAAATTGCTCACCACAAACTGCACGTGAACAAAAGAATTTGAGGGTAATGAAATATAAATGTGAAATATTTAAATTTTATTGCATATAAAAATCACACACTTTATCCTTTAATTGATAGTTTAATAGTAAAGTTAGAAGGACATAAAATATTAACAAGCAATATTAATCTCACAGCCTATCTCCTTCCTTAATCCCTACCTATCCCCGGACCAAAATCCACTGCTATGACATTTTGTAAAAAAACCACCAACCCCTTTTCTCAAAGACTTAAAAAATTAATAAACATGTATTATTTACATGAAACAATTATGTTTGAGCCAAGTAGGATAACTATAATTGACAAAAAAAATTATCTGAATATTTAATTTAACTACATCTACTAGAAGTTGAACTCAAAATCACAGGTTAATTTAGAAGAGCTGCAAAAACTTAGTTTTATATTTGAAAATAAATTAAATTTTTTTGTAAATATAAATTTAATTTAAATGTTATAATTAACAGTATTAAAATAAAAATAAATGTAGATACATGATTTCAATCAAATGTTCTTAAAATAGGATTTTCAATTCTGGCAAGCCCAGCTCATATGACTGACTCCTTGCAGATGAATAAATTTTCAGGTTGATCGAATTGCGTAGAGCGAATCTAATTACAAGATAATTTTTAAAAAAATATTTTATTAAATTAAAATTGTATTCCTCCACCTCCAGATGCAAAAGTTGTATTATTATTAAGAAAATTACTATCTGTATAGCAAAATCAGGTTTAATAGATCACTTCATATAATGTTCTAAAATTATTTTTAATAATTATTAACTTTATGTTTCACCCACACGTGATTCCTGAAAGAGATTATTTCAACGTTATGAAGGGGCTGCAGCGGATAAAAATTTGGGAAACCTATTTTGGTCGCTTCCTGATTCATTACAAAACAGAAAATGCTTCTAACACCTAAGCTTATTTATTAAAAAGCCATAAAGCATTCATTTTAAAAAGCCCCAGGATTTTAATTTTAATAAAATATGACAAGCATTTATAGTGACTACTGAGAGCATTTGTCTATGATTTTCCTAAAAATATATTCTTTTCAAAGTACCCTTTTTAAGATATGTTAATATATTTGAGTAAAGTTTTAAAAAATATTTTTAAAATTATTATTTATTAAAGAATGTAAAAGTATAAGAAAGAAAAACGTTAATTTAAGATGTATTGCTAGGATTGATATACTTGATATTCAATGAATGTTGTATCATTTTGTTTTAACCATTGAGATGGTTATTGGAATTTAAGAGAGAATGAGATGATTATAGGCTAAGCTAGCATGGTAAAAAGTCAAATTCTCCCAATCCCCAATACAGTCTCTTGATTTTATCGATACAGCCATCTCAGTTAAGACTTATCCGTATCTGATATATATATTATTGTTCTTGTAATATATATGAATTAATTAAAATATTATTTCATTTTTTTAATTTGATATATTAGGCACAATAGTATATTACCAATAAAGAAATATTAAATATAAAAAGAGTGTCAAACCTTATGAACTTTTTTTTTTAATGAAGATACATTTTCATTTTTATTCATACTCCTGACTCTCCATTAACAGTGACTAGTTAATTAATTAACAAATCATTTATAACACTTGTAGAATAGATCACTTTGTTTTATGTAACATTCTTTAGTCAACATTATGTACAGTACATTGAGTTAGACATACGTTGAAGAATCTCTTCAGCCATGTTACTAGTAAATATCAACTGAAAAAATTATGCAATAAATATTTAAATGAGAACATATTCTTGTTCACAAGAAACAATGGTAGAGGATAATGTTTCAGCAGTACCCAGTTTGGTTGTGTCCCCTAAGAGATGCTATTATATGTGTTCCTCTCGCACCTTAGAAAATCATATACTTTATGTTCCTCGAGGCATGCAATTCAACCACTTCTCTCAATTTGACTGTAATCCTCCACCGCTACAAGACGCTTTTACCACCCTAATATGAATCCTCCAATATCACTACAAGACACTACTACGCCTTCTGAATTCGTCACCGTATATACAGAGCCTGGCACTGCTACAACTATTGGCGTATATATTCAGTGTGCTGTTGATAGAAGATATATACAGCATGATTTAATTTTATTTGGATTGATCACTTCATCACTGCAA